TTTATTTCCCCCTTTTGAACTTAGAATTTTTCCAAAAAAATATTTTTTTTTACTTTACTTATTATTTCAAAAGGGGTAATTATACTTCAAAATTTTTATGTTATCATCATCCCAATCTTATGTGACAAGGTTCAAACTCTTGCACAATATTGCAAGAATTATCTCCCCATAAACTTAGATTTTTTTTACTAGAAAAATGTTATTTTTTACTATAACTTTTTTTTTTAAAGGTATCTACCTCAAACTTCAAATTCTTATCTTGTCATCAATTACATTTTATGTGACAATGTTCATAACTCTTGAAGCAATATTTACACATTTATCTCTCTTTGAACTTAGGATTTTCTTTAAGAAATATAATAACTTCTTTACTTTTTAAAATATCTACTTCAAACTTCAAATATATATTTCTTATCATTACCCAAATGTTGTGTGACAAGGTCCATAACTCAAGCATGACTATTTTTCTAGAATTATTCCCCTTGATCTTGGAATTTATGTTAACAAATATTATTTTTTTTACTATAACTTAATACATAATTATACATAATTGATTTTTCTTTCATAGTTTTGTCCTCCTTACTGCGTCCAGTATTTTATTAGTCGAGCTTCGCTGTCTCCTGTGACAGCTCTTGTTTGAAGTTATTGCCCTTTGTTTATTTTTACTTTTTTACTTTTGTCCTGAACATAACTCTAAAACTATAAGAGATATCAACATGAAACTTTGCAGGTAGATAGATCTCATTGGATAGCATGCAACCTTAAGAACCTAAACACAGCCTTGTCCAATTTTGGTGTTCTTGCCCTTTGTTCATTTTTACTCTTTGAATTTTACCCGTGACACAACTCTGAAACTATAAGAGATTCATCACGAAACTTTATAGATAGATAGATCTCATTGAATATAAGTGCAGTGCAAAAACCCATAGCTCTGCCTTGCTTAATTTTGGATTTTTTGCCTTTTGTTCATTTTTTTATACTAACTTTCCTGTGTCCAAAACCTTCTTGGGGAGCATCACCCTGTTCAACCGGTTCTTGTTTAATATAATATCCATTGTTCCAGAACAGTAATTTATGATGCTTTTCTGAAAAATCCTTACGCAAGACTGGATAGAAGGGAAATGGGAAGGGTTTTAATACAAACAAGTGCAGTCATTGAAAATTGTCATGATTCTTTTTAAATGAACCAGGCTTAACTGGGTTCAACCGTAGCTCCATGGTCATCCTCCGGGGCTCTGCCGGCATTCACCGGGGCTTTACCTTAGCTCTACCAGCTATATCGTAACCCGGATCATCCTCTGTTTGTGCAGGCAGAGCTATGATGCTTCCCCTGTGTTACCCGGATGCAGAGCTAAGGATGAAGCCGGCAAAGCTAGATCATCCTGGACAACCCAGGTGATATTAACTATTTTATTCTATCCGGGGTCGAAAGTGGGATGTGCCCGAATCATCCCGGACGTTGCTGGCAGAGTTACGGATGTACTCCGGTTGTTCCCGGTTGTACCCTCGTTCTTTGATCACCCGGACGTCTACCTGGGCTCTGCCAGGATGTAAGTGAGACTGTAGGGCAATAGTAAAATATCTACCAGTGATATAATTTTAGCTTTGGCCCAGTGGTTAAAGAATTATTTATAGGTTGTTAAATTAATTGTCTTCTTGTTGTGTCATTGCAAGTGAAAAATTGACCACACATGACTAGCTTAATATACATATAAAGGCTAACTAAATACAGTTGACTCTCGGTAACTCGAAATCCAAGGGACTGGGCATTTTACTTCGAAAGAAACGGAATTCGAGTAACGTGGAACTTCCGCTATTACGTTGGCATTCGTACATGTATATACATTTGCAAAGAAGTAGGTTTGTTATTGTTGTTAGCGGCAATGCTGCAATATTTAACTGTTGAAATGACGGTAAAACACTTACAACTACAAATTATAAATGAACAAAAATATATCATTAAAAATTTAATACATTTATATTAATAGTGAAACATAAACACACAATTATATTTAATTCGATTGATCATCGGACGAAAACGAAAGTAGCAACTATCGTGAACCGGAAGTACAAATTAATGTATGCAAAGTGACGGAACATTAATTATACAAATGTTATTTACGTTGATAACACACATCAATACCTAGGCTGTTATTTGACTAACACCCGTCAGACTGACACGAGTCAACTTTCTTAATGAAATGCAATTAATTTTTAATTTAGTTATCTAACTGTTAAAACAAATTAAATGCTGAAACGGATTAAAGCCACTTATACGACGTGTAAACAAAACGTGATGACCGGCAATTAAAAATTACTATGAAACGTGTAAATCACGAGTGACAATATCTCACCTTGATATCGCCGACCTTTGATCAGTCGGCTGTTTTCACACTTCGACTAATTGAGATGAAAATATGTTGGGCTTTAATTGACGGGACCAAATTTTCTTTTCGACTAAACAGGAGTCTCGGTAAGTCAAAATTTGACCTAAGCGGAGTTAAAATACAAAGATAAAGAAGGAAATTTGACGGGACTTTAGAAATTCTTCGACTAACGCGGAATTTTGAGTAAAGCGATTTTGACTTATTGAGAGTCAACTGTATACATATAAAATCTGTCAAAGAGAAATCATTAATCATTCATTATTGTTCAATCTTTTAATTAGATTTTAATAAAATTATATAAAAAATGATAACCAAAATATGTGTTAAATTATTAACTGCATAAAATCTTACAAACCAAACAAACATATTAACATAAACTGATGGAATGACACACCATTTCAGCTAAATAGTGATTGAAATGTAAGAAAAGGGACTAGTTGTCCTTTGGTATATACAAGTATTGTATTGTATGTTAAATAGTCTGTATTTTTTTTATATTGAATGATTTGAAAAAGTTTAATGATGATGTTATGATAAGAATCACTGAAAAAATGTACTTGGTTTATCTTAAAGGTATTGGAACCAGGATATCACATAGCAAGAAGGGGACCGGATCATGGAGGTTCAAGCTTCACTCATTGTCGGCACTCGACCCAGATTGGACGGCGATATGTTAACCTACGTCAGACATTAGAGGAACGAGCTCGCGTGGAACTCATGAGAGACTGTTTGTATCGGTTAAAATTATCAATCACGTTCGTGCGTGATTTACAGCAATTAGTTATGGAGGAGCATAAAATTTTATATAAAATTACGCATGATTGTGTCGATGAATTTCCCGTTAGTAAAATTTTCTGCCTTAATGCTTTATGTGAAGATTTACGAACTTTAATAGGTCATTGGAAATGTATAAAACAAAAACTGCACACAAATCGGTGGCTGCAACCGGTTCTTGGTTCATTGCATTTTCAGCTCGACCGTATAAAATTATCATTGATACATTTACAAAACAAAGCTATATGGTGGCTCGAAAAGTTTGTTCAAATAGGTTTACAAGTTTTTGCTCATGGAAATGTGGACGCCTTAACGCATGAAATGATATGGAATATAACGCGTGGTCTCGAAGATCTGAACCGAATTATAAATGGCTTACAACATGACAATCATACATCTACCTCTAAAATAGGCCTAAAATCATTTTGTACTCAACATATAAGTGCTTTAAGTCCTGATTCTACAAACTCTGTAGCGAATATCGGAGAACATGTTAAAGCTATTCCGTTTTCGAGGGTGCTAAGTATAATTGCCAATGAGAGGTCAAGATATGCAGCTCTGGAAACACACCGGTTTTTTACGACAAATCACGAATTTGTGAAACTTCTTTATTCAGGAAAATTACCAAACTTTGTTTGGACGGAGGAATCTAGTCACGTTAATGAACGAGCTGATAAAGACACCTCAGATTATCATACTGCTACTGGTAGCATGACCTCTCTTAGTGCAGCTATACTAAAGGTCGGCAGTATACGCGCACCTGATTTGTCAGACTCGGAATCTCCTTTAGTGGAACTAGCTCGACGAGAACACTCCTTTGCTGAAAACTTTCTACTAATTGTGTGCAATTCGACGAACCTTTTGCGGAGAAATGACCATCAGAAATCGAGGCGAGCTGTCAAGTACAGTCAGAGCATGATGAATTCGGGTAAACCTCCGCGTGGTGATACACCAGTGCTTTCTAGAAGTGATTCTTTGAGGAAGTCAGTCTCCTGGGGTGATTCTGCAGACAGCTCAATAAAGTCGCAGCTTACGTCAAGGTGAGATTTTGTTGTTATAGTTTGTAATTCTAATTTATTAATCCAGCCAAGGAAGATGTATCTCCGGAACATTTTGTTAAGGGGGCATAAAGCTTTGCTCTTGTCTGTCTCTCCTGCTTTCAGACTGTCCTGCTGTCTGTAAGTAGACTGGTTTAAGTAGCCGGATGATAGTAGCATGTAACTGCCAGTGTCATAAATCTTTCCAAAAAAAAAAAAGAAAAAGATTTGAGATCAATCATCATCTGAATTTTTCCCTTGACTAATTAAAAGCATGTTAAGACTTATGTCATGTGTAAATTATAACTGCTTGAGCCATGAAACTTTCTTTGACCAGTCGTTAGCATTACTTTGAACTAAGCACCTTGGAATGCAAATATTTGGAAGATTGGCAGAGTTATAACTTCAGATTAATATAGATAAAGCATATTTAGGTCCTCTTTTGGTGGGGAGAGTGAGACCTGTAGAATCATTCCTTTGAGACTGTCACTGACAATAAAGCTATGAATCCTTAGACTTATCTTAGACTTATTGAAGCCATTTTGTACTATGGACTTGTCCATCTTTGAATATAGGAGGGATTCTTTGAGATTTCGTCAAGTTGTTTATCTGACTTTGAATTAAACATGTTTTAGTTTGCTACTTTTAAGGAACATAATTATATAGTTGGGATTACAAAAATTTTACCTTGCCACTGAAAGCCAGGCTTTTACTATTACTGTGACAGCGAATGAGCAGAGGCGCCAAATGGGTGTATATTATTATATAGAAAAATACTAAAAAGCAATCTGCTAACTTTGAGCAGTCTACTGTTTAGAGCCTATAGCCTTGTCAGACTTCGCAAGCAGATTTACATGTATTAATATCACATTCATAGGAGCACAGTTGTGGTTTTAAGTTTATACAATTATTGAACAGTGCCATTCATCTTGATGCTATTTGTGTCCATGCAGTCAAGTTTCTTGTACATTATAACCTGAGTATCTAATGACACAGGCATGACATGGCTATATTATTTACTGTCGGAATGAATGATGTGTGCTGCTATTTTAATCAAGGGACATGACAAGGGGCAAAAAGGTTCATGAAGATAGTAACTTTGTGCATAAATACTTAGGTGTTGGTAGAATAATGCTGGTAGAAAAACTACATATTGTCACCTTAGTGAAGTAATGGGTTAAATTGTTCATATAATTAAACATATAATTTAATAGGAATTAACCCGTTACTGCTCTAAGATGACGTTATGTTTGGGTTTTTTTCAACTTGTTTGAGAACAAGTTAGTTAGCGTTGGGATTTTGGTTATATACACACGTAGGGAAGACTGGGCTTGCCTAACTGTGTTGCCTCTTTAAATAAAGTTGTTATTATCATTATTATTATTATTAGTCCCCTACCGGTTTACCGGAGGGGACTTTAGGTTTACCCTCCGTCCGTCTGTCCGTCAGTCCGTCTGTCCGTCCGTCAGTCCGTCCGTCCACAAAACTGTATCCCGCGATAACACAAAAAGTACTGAAAATATTTTAATGAAACTTGGTATATGGATAGATGGCAGTATGGAGATTATGCACGTCTTTTTTTTTCTTCCTATTTTGAAAATTCTGGTTGCTATGGCAACAAATAGACTGAAAATATGGCAAATTTTACACATAACCTGGTTCACGCAATAACGCAAAAAGTACTGAAAATTTTTTTATGAAACTTGATATATGGATAGATGGCAGTATGGAGATTATGCACGTCTTTTTCTTTTTATCCTATGCTGAAAATTCTGGTTGCTATGGCAACAAATAGACTGAAAATATGGCAGATTTTACACATAACCTGGATCCAGTGATAACGCAAAAAGTATTGAAAATATTTTTTATGAAACTTGACATATGGGTAGATGGCAGTATGGAAATTATGCACATCCTTTTCTTATCTTCCTGTGTTGAAAATTCTGGTTGCTATGGCAACAAATAGACTGAATTTCAAGATTTCTTATTCTAGTTTTTAAGTTTTTAAACTATAAGTTCTTTATTTCTTAAGGTATTTTCTTCAAACTTTAAAAATAAGTTGCTAGTCATCAACCACATCATATGTGACAAAGTTTACAACTCTAGCACAAAATTTATCAGAATTACCTCCCTTGAACTTAAAATTTTCATGAAAAAAAACATTGTTTTTTTTAATAACTTTTTTTTTTCTGAACGTATCTACTTCAAACTTCATATAAATGTTTCTTATTATCACTCAACATTTGTGAGTGTTGCAAGACTATTTCCAGAAATATGCCCCTTTTGAACTTAGACTTTTTTTTGAGAAATTGGTAATTTTTACTCCAACTTCTTCAATCATGATAGAATTTTCTTCAAACTCCCACATCATTATAATATGACAAGGTTTATAAATCTAGCATCCATATTTCCAGAATTATCTCCTCCTTAAACTTTTAATTTTCCTATTTGTTCTTTTAACTTTCATTTACTTCAATTTCAAAATAAATATTCAATATTCATACCTTCATTACTAATTGTTCTTTGTTACAATCACATCATGTATGACATCGTTATCTCCTTTTTTTTTAAATTTTGCTTTTAAAATGTTATATTTTGATAACAGGGATGTTTAAAAAATAACTTTAGACTGTCCTTCAGTCCGTCTGTCTGTCTGTTCACTGTGATCACTTTTAAAGAACTTTTTCAACAAATTTACTTAAAATAGAAACATAAGTGAATGGCCCTTCAGAATGGTGCTTGGGCTCTTACCGGTAGGGGACTTATGGATTGCTTGCAATACTATGATAATTGCTTGTTATTATTATTATTACACCCATATGCATTATAAGTCACAAGGTTTTATTCAGAAAAAAATGAAAGGAGTATATTGTTGGAAAAAGACATTTTTCAAAAATCTCACAGTATCTGTAATTTTCATCATACATATAATTATATCTTATCAGAATTAATGATTCATCTGTCTTTCTTTTGAAATGAATTTGAGTCTGCTCAATGTGAAAATCTTTCAGTTCCAGTTGTGAAATTAGTATTATGGAAATTGGGGAATAACAAAATCCACAACAATTGTCAAATTATGAATATTTATAGTATTTGGGAATTTTAGACCCTATTTTCGAAAAAATATCAGTATAGACATTATCTGCCATAGTAAAGGGGTCTCTTTAAGGGACATGTTTAAAAAAGGGAAACACATGTACACAATACTGTTAAGTGTTTATTTTTAGGTACATGGATTCATATTGGAACCATTTTGGAACCAGTTTATACATGATGTTTTATGAACCATGTTGGGTACGACAGAAGTCGCTGTATTTCTCCGAGATTGGTAGTGTTTTAATGCTCAATACCACAGTGATAGCCCTTGTCAAACATATGATTCAACATGTCTGCCTCAAAGGTATGGTATAGGTTTTTATTTATCAAAACATTTAATAGATGTAACTTGGATGGTAGATGTTTATTCACCAAAGCTCACAGTGATATAGTCAAGGAAATTTTTTTTATATTGAACGATTTTTTTCTCTCATTTCTTTAGATTGCACATGGCTTTTAATATGCGAATTGTGATTAAGACACAATGCTTTGTATTAGGTATGTACAATTTATAGTGTATCGATTTCTAATATTTTTGTTTCTTAAAAATGAATATTTTTCTATAAATTTAGTATAGAATATTAGTTTTCCTTTGTGTAAACAATGCTGTTTAAAGATATACTATGCTCATCTTCTTTTGGTAAAATACTTTTATATCAGAAATTTAATGAAATCTAGAAAATTCTTACTGAATATCTCTAAATTGAATGAGAGAAAGTACAAAACTTTTCTTTTGAAAGCTGCTTTCCCAATTACTGGTCAAGATTATTTTGTTCTTTATTAAAAAAAACTGCCAGTTCTTTTAATGACACTTTGTATTCATACTGTGTTAAAATGTAGTTCACATTATCTTCTCTCTGTGTACTCTAAAGGTGTTTATTTTACTTTTAAAGAGAGACTGTATACCAGTTATCAGTATTTTTAAATATCAAATTTTAGCATAGTATATCTTTAGAAATAAAAGAAATTTCTAGTAAAAATAAACATTTTATTTTTACAAATTGTCACACAAATAAATAGAGATTTATTATAACACTGAATTAACCTTATAGACTTATATTCTAATGCTATGCAGAACATTTCCCATAGAAATATGATAATGATTAACCAACCTTTACAATATCCTGAAATAAAACATAGCTGTTACAATTTACTCCCAATTAAACTAACTCATTAGTTTCTGTATACATGATTGGCAAAAGATTAAAAAGACATTACATTGAGTGAACAGTTATGTCTTATTGGCATCATAAAATAAAACATAGCTGTTACAATTTACTCCCAGGAAAATTTACTTTCTATATGCATGATTGACAAAAGATCATGACATAACATGGACCATACAGTGATGTCTAATGGCATCATAAGATAAAACATAGCTGTTACAATTTACTCCCAGGTAAATTTACTCATTCATTTCTGTATGCATGATTGGTAAAAGATCATGAAATCACATAGACTGAACAGTGATGTATAATTGGCATTATCATAATTGAATGAAAAATCTAATCCATTTTACTCCCATGTTATCAGCTTTAGAATATCTATGGTAAGATATTGTTTCTAGAATCAAAGTGATAGATGTCTATTACCTCTATATTCTTTATGATTAAGATATGGTCTAGTCAGTCAGATGAGAAAAATGTATATTTTTGTTTTACATAAAGGTGGATTCATTTTCTGATCATATAAACTCAATTCATCTTTTACATATCATTGATAAATAATCGGTAAAAAAAAATAATATCTATTTTTTTCTGTTAAGTTTAAGAGCAAGTTATTTCAGTGTTGTAAGGAATCTTTGAGACCTATTATAAATCACTATTGTAGTTAGTTAGATGTTTATATTTCGGTACTTAGTGACCTTTTAGCTAGTATTATTATGTAGTATTACATGGCACGGAACTGAGGTATGACCTTACTGGCAATCATGTTTACATGGTCAGAGACTTTTTAGGGTTCTCATTCAGCAACATTTTATAAATAGATATAATAGATATAATTTTTTAAAGAAGCTACATACCTTTTTCATATTTAATTTGTATATTTACTTGACATTTATTTAGAAGTGATCAGTACATGTACATTCTTAACAATTCTTGCTATTGCGCAATATGTTTGAATAACATAACCAAGTTTTTATAACAATTTTATTGAAACAGTTGACTTGTAAGTTTATACTAATGTCAATTCCTCATAAATTGACTTGTGTCATCAAAAAAAGGTTGTTTGAAGTAAAATAAATTTATACTTTAAAAAAAGGTGAGAAAAGTATATCAAAAAAATTGATTCTTTGTTCAAAACTCAGAAATTTTCAATAAAAAATTGTTGGTATCTGGTAAGGGACATCTAAAGAAGTAGCCAATCATTTGTTCCTTACTTTAAAAAGAGCCAGAAATTGAAGAATATGTTTAAACATGAAACTTTCTAAATGATAAATGTATCGATAGAATTGTGCCTATCCATACTGGATAATTTTGTTCTATATATTTTCACATATCAGTTCCATGTAGTTTTCCCATGTAGATTGATCACATTATTGTATTACTATTTCTGTTCTTGCATGATCAGTATCACCACCTTTAGACAAGGATTCAACTAGCCAATCAGGTAGCCTTTTACATTTTCATCACTGTGTGTTGTTATTGTTATCCAATCAAAGTGCATGTTACATTTCCCACTTGTTATACCCCCGCACAACAAAGTTGTAAAGGGGGTATACTGGAATCAGCTTGTCCGTCCGTCCGGCTGTCCGGCGGTTTTTTCTTGTCCGCCCAATAACTTAAGATTCCTTTGACCCTTAGTCTTCATATTTGGCATGGAGGTTAGTCATGATTAGTAGATGACCCCTGTAGATTTTGAGGTCACTAGGTCAAAGGTTAAGGTCACAGGGGCCTTGACTTCAAAAAGCTTGTCCGCCCAAATAACTTAAGATTCCTTTGACCCATAGTCTTAATATTTGGCATTGAGGTTAGTCATGATTAGTAGATGACCCCTGTATACTTTGAGGTCACCAGGTCAAAGGTCAAGGTCACAGGGACCTTGACTTCAAAAAGCTTGTCCGCCCAATAACTTAAGATTCCTTTGACCCACAGTCTTCATATTTGGCATGGAGGCTAGTCATGATAAGTAGATGACCCCTATTGACTTTGAGGTCACCAGGTCAAAAGTCAAGGTCACAGGGGCCTTGACTTCAAAAAGCTTGTCCGCCCAAATAACTTAAGATTCTTTTGACCCACAGTCTTAATATTTGGCATGGAGGTTAGTCATGATTAGTAGATGACCCCTATTGATTTTGAGGTCACTTGGTCAAAAGTCAAGGTCACAGGGGCCTTGACTTCAAAAAGCTTGTCCGCCCAATAACTTAAGATTCTTTTGACCCACAGTCTTCATATTTGGCATGGAGGTTAGTCATGATTAGTAGATGACCCCTATTGATTTTGAGGTCACCAGGTCAAAGGTCAAGGTCACAGGGGCCTTCATATTTGGCATGGATGTTGATCATGACTATAAGGTGACCCCTATCGATTTTGAGGTCACTGGGTCAAAGGTCAAGGTCACAGGGACCTTGACAAAAAAAAAGCTTTTCTTCTCAATTGCTAAAGAATGTCCTGTTAGCAATGTATTGATTTTGACATTTTCACATTTGAAGCATGTAGAATACATAACTTAGCAATGCACTGGCTTAGTAACCTCAGATTTGGCAAGGAGGTTGTCCTTGAGCTCTAAATGGCCACTGTTGATTCTGACAAAGTGGTATGCGGGGGTATTCACGCCATGATAGTGGCAGTTCTAGTTATTACTGTTATCCTATCAGAGTGCTTGTTAGATTTCACTTAGCAATTCCTATTTCTTTTTTGAATAAACTATTGTTTTTGCATATATTTGAAATATTTCAGTTCATATGCCTGTAAAGTGACTTTTTACATTGAGTTTTTAACTGACTTGTAACTTTCCCCAAAATTTCATGCCACTAAAAACAGTGTCAATGTAAAAACTCCAAATTTCAAGGCAAAATCAGGATCCCAGTCTTTTAGGAGATCCAGCTTAATCTGTATTTAATTGTCATGGAAATTGTTAAATGATTAATGCAACTGAAATGTTTCAATAATTGTTGTATATTATTGATGTTTTGAATTTAAATGTTACTTCATTGTTCTGCATGTTCCATTTTTAAATATTTATGAATTTAATTTCAGTTGTTTTGAAAGCTTGTGTTGAGATTTTAGAATTGAGAAAATACGTGAATTATGAATTTCTGAATTTTTTTAAACTTTTTTATAAAATAGAAGTCCTTAGGAATTAAGACTGTCAGAGCTATTAACATTGTAAGATTTCTAAGAAAAGCATGTGGTTTAGAAGACTTGCCTATGTTACGTCAGAAGTGAGCCATGCACATCCAAGGGCAACCAGCCGGATTAATGTAAAATCTTTTGTATTACCTAATGAACTTGGAAATGTCCATTGGCAATTTTGTTTATGTGATTTCAGTATCAAAATACAAAAAAAAATGAGCTGATCTGAGCCAGCAGTTTATAGGGTCCGCTTAAACTGCAGGAATGTTGTAAAATCAGCTGTTTTTGTGAGGCTAAGATTTCGCATAATTAACATTTCCAACCAATTAACAAGGTTAAATATTCTCTGATTTCTACCTGCAGTTCTGTTAAATTTATATGATATTTAGATACTTGGCAAATATTTTTTTGTGGTTAAGAAAATCTTCAATTTGTGAAATTAATAAAAATTCAAAACTTTGCAAAAATTTCTCCTTTTACAGTATTATATACAGACCCGTAAGGTTCAGTACTTGAGGCATAGGCTACTTGCCACCGCTACTTCATAGCCTTTTGGAAAGTTTACCAGCATGTTAATTCTATAATTTTATATCTATACCAACTGTGAATAGATACTTTTAACTTGAAATTGGCACTTGATAAATTTTAATGATCTGATAAGTGAAGTAGAATCTATTATGTATCTTATAATATGGCAAATTTCCTAGAAGAAAACAATTTAGACAATATGTGATTCAAAGAGCATAGTTGTTAATTGATGTAGCATATTGTGAAAGTGCAATACTTAAAGAGATGGGTAAATTATTCTGTAGATATAATTGCACGAGCATTAATCTTTTAAATCATCAGAAACATTTTTTGAAGGTCAAGGTTTTTGTAACTGAGTCAGTAGTCAGACTTACTTAAATAGATTTATCTACATTAAAACAAACTTAATGTTGATGATATGCAAGTTCCCTTATTTTCAGTTGTTTGCTAGCATATCTTAAATTGACCCAATTGTAAATATGGGTCCATTACCTTAAATTTTACCTTATATTATAAATAAATTATTAGTTATAAAGACTTACGACATGGTATAAACAGTTTAAACTGAGGTACAATGTAAGCATATATTACTCTAGCTGCTATGCATTAGGGGTTATATAGCATACTGGCATTTATATATTGGTCATATAACCTGCCACAAGTCTTCGCACAAATTTATAATACTGCACAATTCCACTCTTTAAATGAAATTATAAATAATTTAAAGTGAATTGGTCTGTTATGGAAGGTATATAAAACAATAAATTATTATGTTGATATATAATGTTTAGTATCAGACAGACATAACAACAAAGCACAAACTAAATATATATAACTGTTGTTGGCAAGTGAGAGATACAACTGATCAGAATTATTACATATATTTATATAGCAGATGATATGAGTTGTTTTGGAACAAAATATTATTATTATCCATATAAATGTTCATACTAAATCACTTGGAACTTAATCAACATTTTTTTTCATTAGTAACAAGTCATAAGAATAGTCAAATAATACATTATACATTTCTAATGTTTTTATCAACATACTGCATTGTAGACCATTCCACTTTAATGTGGCCATTTTAAGATAGGTAATATTATTGATATGATTATACTGTGAAAATAAAGGTTACAAACATGTAGTAATTATATAGCAATGTTCATTAACCTTAAATCTGCTGGACTTGAAGATATATTAGACTTTGCCCTAGGCCAGCCTGCACATCTGTGTAATCTGACCAGGCTCTATACTGTGGCTGACCAATTTCAAAATTTTCATTTTAATATCCCCAAATATTGTTGATGGAATGTTCCAAAACTAAAAGCTAGAGCCAAGCCAGCCTGCACATCCCTCTAGTCTGACCAGGCTCTTTACTATTGGCTTTTCATGTTGATATCCCCAAATATTGTTAATGAAAAATTCCAAAACTAAACAGTTAGATGAGTCAATTCAAGAAATCCAGCAAGTTAACGGGTAAATTAGATACTAGTAACTTATGATACCACATAGTATTTTACAAATTAATGATATCATCACATTGTAACATTATTTTACCATATTGTTGTTTGTCTTGCATGAACTCTGTGTGTGTGTGTGTGTGAATAAACACCATTATGTTGTTTTAGGACCCCCAAATATGTTGCGTCACCCCATTGACCCAAAGTATCCCGACATAGGTGTTCCAATAATCCTACCTGATCCTTTCCCAGGTTTGTAAAAACTGTGTGAATGCTAGGTGTTTAATTGGCATTAAGTGATTGCTAATTTCTTTGCATGCTTTTTGCATTTATAAGGACTTGCCTTTGCAACAAGTAGGACTTGCCTAAATGCTACAAGTTTAACGAGGTATCTTTAATGATCTTTAACGAACTGCTTGTGTGGGGGGAAGGATTTCTATTTTGTTTACAGTCTGTAGAAATACACATAGACAGTATAAGTCAAAATATATCCTTTATTGACAGTCCAAGAATTATGTATTACAAATACAATGTATAATAAGACATGTTCTTAATTAAGAATTCTCAATACATGTGTATCAATATATAAAATTCATAGACAATTTATTTCAATATGATAACAATTATTCATTAAAATTAAGTTGGGGAAATAATCACTCACTTAGCATTATGAGAACATTTTGATAATTAAAATAGGTAACAGGTACCATGTCAACAAAATGTATATAATAAAATACTTAATTTACATTACAAAAATCAATGTTCAATGTATTCATGTGTTCCAAAAATATAAGTCAAATTATGAAAAATATGTTGTAAGTAAAACATAAAGTTATATTTTAACAAGTCAGTAATTAAAGTAAATTTACAAAATTTCATTTCCTATAGATTTTAGAAAAAGAGTTAAAATATAAAATAAAGTTTAACATGAGTTAAAATATAAAATAAAGTTTAACATACCTGTAGAAATACACATAGACAGTATAAGTCAAAATATATCCTTTATTGACAGTCCAAGAAATTATGACTGTCTAGCCTTAAACTGTCTATTTTATAGGTATGTTTTGGAATTGTTTGAAAAGTAGAATTAATTTATTAATGGGTTTTCACTTTGAAGTTATAAATGTCAAAAACTAAGAAGGAAATAAAGCTGTGATATTTTACTCAACTATTATTCTGTATTTGTTTGTATTTACTCTATAAAAAACAGTCCATCTGTTGAACAAAGAAAAGTGCTAAAAAGACATAAAGTGCTTCCTTGGCTTAAGCAAAATGTGTTGATTTAACAACATCTTAAGTATGTTTGACATGTTAAGAATGATGGTTTCTATCCCAAAGTTTGAAGAAGTTATTACTGTAAAAATACATGTTATTTTAAGGTTTAAATTTGAAAATACAAACAAGTAAAATATAGATACAAAAATGTACAAAAATATGCATTATGTAATATAAAAATATAACTCATATTTGGGGTTCCTTATACAAGTATAGAATCACCCAGTCTGCACATCTCTACAGTTTAGCTTAAGATTCTCAAGGGTATAGCTCATTTCGGACATTTTTGATATTGAAGTCCATAAAACATTAATGGACAGGTCCACTGAGTTAATGGGCAAGTCCATTATATAAAGTTAACTGTCCAAGATTTGCTGTGAATTGATGTGATATAAACTGCTTACTGTAACCTTTGTTGTATTAAATTGATCATAATAAATATTTAACTGAAACCAAGAAATAATTGACAAAATGTTGAAGCTTTCTTTAAAGATTTTCTTTTAATTAAACTGAAGAAACCTTGTTTATCCTTGCTACATATAAGGTCAAGCTTTGCTGCATAGTTATCTGATGAAATGCTAATTCTTATTTATGGATCTTAATAATTTGATCAAAACTTACCTCTATTTTTACACTATGAAACACAATAATGATTATGCAGTTGTACTTGGCCTACACTTTATCTGTGTTGTTACTGTCCCAGTTGCAGTCTTGGTACCCTATTTTGGTACCAATCTATAGGCCAAATATTGTTGTGTATCCTTGATTCTTAAATACTGTTGGCAAGCTAAAACTGCTGTGAATTAATGCTTTTTACATGTTAAACATACATGTATTTACCATGGATAAATATTTTTTTTAAATGCTTAAACCATGGTTTTATAACATGTTATCATTTTGAATCCTGAGCCAGAGCACGAAATGGACAGCATACTTTTTGTAGTTATTTGATTTATTGCTAAGACTTTGTGCCAAAAGTTAATTAGCTTCAAAGTAAACTGGCTGATTGATTGGCCTTGAAACTTACTTTAATAAATGCTGAACTATGATTTTTTAGCTCAATTATCTAATCGAAAAATAGGGAGAGCTGCTGTAACTGCATAGGCGTCAGCGTCACGCTTTGGTTAAATTTTTGTGTGCTGCATTGTCATTGCAGTGAGTTTAAGGTTGGTATCTCCAATCTGAAAGGAATGGGTTGAAACTTCAAGCATTATTTGAGAGCATAAAAGGAGGTCACTGACCAAGGCCAACAACACTGTTTTTGACAGAACTTTGCTCCTTTTTAAACTTAGAAAATTCTACATTGTCCAAACTCTTGTTTTACTATCTGAAGCAATGACAACAGTCGGGCATGTTGTCCTAATGACAGGTCTTGTAATAAAAAGTACTTGCATTTGGTGTGCTTTGAAAGTGAATTGCTTTGGTCTTTTGGGACAAGCTTTGCTGTGTATATAGTCTTTACATTGTACTGTAAACTGCAATACTATAGGTCAAGCTTTGTGCTGTGTATGTCTTGTTTTTGATGCTAAACTGTTCAAGTGAATTGTAGTGCTTGAGTATATTATACTAACTAGTACATGTATAGACTTATTAGAGCTAAATTTAAAGATATTTTACCCATATCCTCTTTTAAGCCAAATTAGTATGATTAGCGTTTAGAGCCAGACCTGTATGCACATTAATGGGGTATGACCAGGCTCTATACTGTTGGGTGACTAACTTTCGAAATTTCATCTTCTATATATCCAATATTGATAATAAACAGTTTAAAAAATGGAAGGCAAAATATAAGTACAAGTACAAGTACAAGAAATTTAACAGCTTTAGGGTTATCAGTTGAATGTATCTTTGGTTTGTTACATACATGTAATCAATTAGAAATTTGCAAAATTGATATTCATGAGATATTTTCTGTGTTGCATGTTGTTTTTGCTTCTCTTTTGGGGTTGTTTGCATTGCTAGAGTGCGTTATATGAATGGGTTTGTGTATTTAATCACAGATTGTGGTGTGCATGGTTTTTTTGCATGGTGACACTGGTGCTGTTTGTTTATTATGTTTGCATGTGCAACTTCAAGAACACAGAACTTACTTATAATATACATATATTTACTATTTTAATAAAAGATAAAGAAATAAATTGGAAATATTGTTATATGTATTGTAATTTGATTATTTGAGTCGAAAGAATATATAAATATGGAAAAATAAGTATAACAAATTTAACTCTGAATAAGATGCGATTTTAAAAAATAAAGAGAGCAGTGGCCTGTAGTGGTTTAGGTGTCAGCAGCTCAGTCCATATATCATTAGTTTGAGCCCCTCATAGATCACAACCATGATTGCTACTCAATCAGTACCAGTTAAAAGTAAAATTTACCTAAAGTAGTGAATGTTTTTTGTCCAGCTTGAAAGATTGTCACATACAAATTATTTCAGCTCCCATCGAGAGTACTAAGGATTTAGGCTCAAGTTAAACTTATATTTCTCTCTTATTACAGTCTCATTCTAATGCCGCCAGGGAAATATACTGTATAATAAACAGGGAGCCGCATTGATGGAGATGTAGTTATCTATTATTTATAATTATTGTACGATTATAAGACTTTCTTGAGGAAACGTCTGACAGTCATAAAATGCCCCAGTCTGTATAGCTGTTTACAGTAGACAGAAAATTATCACTAATTGCTTGTACAAGTTACTCCCCGCTGTGTATAATGTGAACATATTAATGAACACCCTGGAATAAATATTCCTGTCAGACTTGTGGAATTTTTGTTATTTTCTTCCACAAAAAAGAGAAGATTTTAGTGGCTAAATTAAGAAAAAGAATTAGGGAACAAAGTAGACCATGATCAGCCTGTTCAGAGATATACTTACAAGATATACCTGATATACTGGGCTGATCTTGGTTTGCACTGGTCACACGAGTAGATTTAGCCGCCACCTGCTGCCTACAGATTAATCAGATTCTTTGAATCCAAAAGCTCTTTTATGCTTCTTCCTAATTAAATTACAATTAAAAGTTTGTGATAACACACTGAGACCTTAAGTGCCTCGAAGTTTGTGAGGGGGAGAACAACAACAAGAAAATAGTCAATTAAAAAAAACAATTTAAATTGTACACACTTTGAATTTTTGTTGAGAATTACCTCAATAATATGAAATGAGACTGTTTATTATTAACTTTCTATAATAATTATATAAATTCAACTGTTTTCAGGCTTTTTTAATATATTGAAGATCATTTTCAACATATATTTTTCAAAATTTTTACAACAATTTTCAGAATTTTAACTTAATTTAAGAATAATTTGACATCTCCAAAAATTGAGTGTTAATTGTTATAGAAGTATTAAGGGGACGATATAATCAAAATAATTGTTCTAGCAAGGGCCATAATTCATTCATTAACAACACAGACTGGTTAAAACTAATAAAAGTCTTTGTTTATATAACTCGTCTTATGCGCAGTTTATATGGTACTTGTACAAATATACAAATCTTAAACCTATGTTAATGAAGAGATACTATTTATATTTTACAGATTTGTTTCCACCTGGTAGTGTCGTACCAATGTTAAATGCAGCTAGAAAGTGTCTCCATACTTCAGCCTTTGGAGCCTGGGATACAAGTAAGTTTGTTAAAGCCTTCAAGAAAGGAGTTAGGAGTTTTAATGTTGGTAGCTCTATGCAAGCATTCTTTACACTGTTGCCTGACCAATAATATTAGGTTTTGAAATCTCTGCAATTACATATAAAATATATAAAATCTCTAACTTGCCATATATAATAAAAAAACGTCAATTAAAATTTGCCCTAGCTTTTGACCTTATGGCCTCCTTGTATGTATAATAAATGCTGCTGAAGAAGGCTGCAAGGTCAAAAGCTACGGCAAATTTAAATTAGCGTTTTTTTATTTAATATATATTTACATGTACAAGAAAATGAAATGGGCATGTGGAATCTTAGTTCTATAAGTGCAACATTAAAGCTAAAATAGTGTCATTATTTTACATTATGCTCCTTTCAAGTTGGGAGGCAAGTTTCCAAGTTAAAAAAACCTATACTTTGTACCATACTTCATAAGTGTCTATGAAAAGGGTTTTTTTCATGGTAATTTTTCCAAAGAGAAATTTCTTCCTGAGTGTTGATCTCAGACATCAAGTCTTAAATGGTTATATGTGTTCACTGCTGATTCAGAAATCATGTAAGCTTGGTAGTCTGTAACTTGGGGAGATAGTGGGTATCACTAGTTAGTTATCCAGGAGAGCATGTGAGGCAATCAATTGCCGAGATATGACCAAAAAAATCTGGAAACAAAGTGATCCCTCGGAAGCATTAATCACAACAAAATTACATCAGAATTGCAGACTCGGTTTGATTGAGTCTGTACATGAGGGATAATGAATAAGTGCAACATCCCTCATGCCCCCTAGCATAGGCTATGTTATAAATTGGTGAAACCTGTAAAACAATTCAAATAAACGAGAACTGTACTTTGCATTGTGGCTTAGCCTTAGTGGCCAGATTGCCTTTTCCAAATTTTTAATGTAATTAGATTTGATAAAAATATGAATGATTTTTTTCAGTGATGTGTGAAGCACTAGCCTCTAATAGACGTGACAAATGTTACCCCTGCCCTCTAGTGGACGGAGATTACAGTACGAGAACGGGAATGCTGTTACGAGATACGTACCAACCGGTGCTCAACCTGCTCAGAGAAAACCTCGGTGAAAACACTGATCCTGCACCAGGCGGTGAGTGTTTTTAAGACTCATGTGGAATCTTTAAATTTAAGGTTTGGATTCAGCACAGTTGCTCTTTTTGTGCCCTGAATAATGCAGAGTCTTGACTCTTTCTCCACCAGTATAGCTGAAAAGTTGCCATAAGACTATCATAATGTTTGCATTACATAAAAGAACACTAAAACCAAGCAAAACAATGAAATTTGGCAAAGGATTTAACATTTTTTACTGATACTTTTATATCTTTAAGTTAATTAGATTAATTTGATTTGCCCTCGCCTTGACCCGACAGTCTGCTTTATTCTGATCTAAAGAATAATGACCTTTACCCCGGAAGATGATGTTTTTAAAGTGTTGTTTGTATGTAAAAATTGACAATTTTTCTTGTACTTTCAGGTTTACCAGCATCTGTGAACGAGATGGTTGCTGTAGCATCAAGACTGGTGGCGACATCTAGTGTATCGTTGCTATGGTGTCGTAATAAAACACATCAGTATCTGGCATCAATGGCCGTTGGTAACTTCCTGCTCATTTCGCAAACTGACTTAAAGGTAATTTAATCGATTTCACTAAAAATGAATAATTAATTGTTCTTGTGCTTCAGATTTAATAAAAAATGTAGGTAGGACTTTACATTAAATTACATATGAATTGAGGTATTATAAAAATTTGACTGACTGAGTGGGTCAGTCACTGACTAATTTGGCTCACCAATAGTATGACAAACATGATTTATTGTCAATCCTTAAAAAAAGGAGGTATTTAGAAATTATATTGTCTAGTAAGTTACCGAAATAGCCTTTCCTCTGTGCTAATTTGTTTAACTGATGAGTGTTAAACTATTAAGATTTATTTTAAGATAGAACAGAAGCTTTACAATGAAGACTTAACTGTTCTTAGACAAAAAATTATCAGCAAGAAGACCATTAAGTTCTTCTTTAAAATTTTGGGATATGATATATATTTTTTTTTAGTTTCATCATAGGTAAATTTATAAAAAAAAAATTTCAGATTTTGATTGACGAGTCTCGATCCGCTCTTTACCAAACGCAGATGGTATCCAAGTCACTGTCATCAAAAGTAGGTCAAGATTCAGTCATTGGATTAGGTCAGATCGCAAACCAGCTCAGTACAATAATGGACAGTCTACAGGTGATTATTATACTGATTGAGCAGTAACGTCTTTAGTATTTTAAAGCACTGAAAGTTGAAAGTTTAGCTTAAGTTGATTGTTTCAGTCAGCCGGCTAAGCTCAGTAGATAGCCATGTTATTATTGCCACTGTTGAAATATTGTTGGAAAATATATCAAGTTCATACCAGAATTATTCATTGCTATTCTTTTTGAAATCCTGTTGTCCCACAGTACATGTATTAACAAATAGAATGGAGTATTGTGCCATGTTAACATTAGCAGATATGCTGTATTTGGTATGCTGCAAGTTTCAAGCAAGTTTTAACTATTCTTGGAATCTGGCACGTTTTTGCAAAGCTAAAATTCCGTAAACTGACATATGAATGTTTAAAATTTAAAATAGGTACATTACATAAATTCAGCTAGGAAAGGATGATAAAAAATCTTGGTTGTTCAAAGACCTCAACATATCCTCGTTACTTCTGACATCGCGTTACTTCTAATATCTCGTTACTTATGATATTATTTTTAATATTACTTCTGATATGTCGTTACTTCTGATATCATAATGGATTATGAAGATAATCATTTTAATGCTCTTTACTTTAATATTCACTCATTATTACTTTCCATCTTGAATATAAATGTTCGGTTGACGTTTTCCATAGTTTGTGCAGTAGAGGCCATCCTCGTTTTTGCGTGCTTAAGATGTAATCATTTCCCGGCTGCTGTGCGTATGTATGCGCTCCATAAACAAGGGTCTGGCAAAGTCGGGCACAAATTAGGATTTTTATAGCTTCAAACTCGTCATTGTTAAGACTGCATGTCTTGTAATATCCTGAAAGAAAATGGCCGCCTACGTCTGCTTGGCTTTCATCCGGGCACTCAATGCTTATATAAGCAATGCAAATAGCAATATCAAACACAATGTAAGAGTAAGATATGTCAGAAAAATCAATCACAGCAGATACATCATGGATGCGTTGGTCTGTTGGTATGTCGTGTTGTCCAGGGACTTCGTGTACAATAATGTTCTGGTCATACAGGTCCCCGTGAATTACACCTAGCACAAAAAATGACAGCATTAGAATAGGACTTTAACATACATATTAAGTGACAAATTTTCCCATTTTTTCAACTGTCAACTGAATTAGTAAACACGTTGCAAAAATTTAAATTACAAAAACTATAACGAAGGCACTTAAACATCCCGTCACTCTATGTACAAATCGGCTACATACCATTACACTTAAAGTCGAAGTAAACTTACAATATTATCGACAATAGTTAAGCAATTTTACATCAATAGAAAAATTATCAATAGAAAACAACCCATCAAAATCATTCTTATTTTACATACATATATAGTATTTTTCACGCTCTGAATTTGCCAATGTTCAGAACACGAGAGCTTGAATGAGCGAATGCATTTGGACAAATTATTATTTTTGGTGCATGTTGCAAACAGTTTCTCGTTTGCCATATGAATGAATTATGGAGGCTATTCTTTGCCAAAAATCCAGCCTTTGAAACTTGACAATGCTTCCCCGCCTCTACTAAACAGATAAGTAAAAATCTAATTGACGATCCGAGAGTTACATACTGCACTAGTATTAAGCATTTTGATTGTCTCGATTTGATAAAATGGAAGCTGTAAACATGCAACTTAGATAAATTGCAGTAACGTCTTTAGTATTTTAAAGCACTGAAAGTTGAAAGTACTACTAAAGTTGACTGTTACAGTCTGCCCACTAAGCTCAATAAAGAGAGCTACCAACTTGTCATCAAGGGGAAGCTGGATCGATCCTCGGGCTTGGTGTAACTACTCGGTGACAATTATTCACTGACATTCAGACTAATTATAGTTTGTCTCTCTTGTCTATTATCGTTGATTCAGAAATCATGTGATATTAGTAGTGGCTCACTTATTTGAGGTATTGTAAGTTACTGGCTGATTAGCCAGGAAAGCTGGTTAGCTGGACGAGCCGCAGAGATTTTTGACCAAAAAACGTTTTAACATTGGCATAAAAACCAGGTAAAACTATCAACCTGAGAGAATTAGTATCATCAATCCAATTTAAGTATTTAGCATGGTAGTGTTTAATATAACAAACTTTTATTTCAATTTAACCAGAAAGATAAAAAGGTCGCTTAATCGAATACAGAATGATATTTTTCAATGCCATTAAGATAATTTGTTATGCTCTCAAAAGGGTGGCATATTAAAATCTCACTGTTGGTCTATCTGTGCCTTCCAAATTAACACAACATTGTTTCTGTATGTTTTCAGGGACTGTCTAGCCTTAGTATGAAACAATTCTCAAGAAATTGTACCAGTTCTGCGATGGAATATTTCAAAGGCAATATGCCAGTTGGAAAAGTGTGGAGGAAAAAACCAGAAGCAGGTAATGCCAAGAATTGTATCAGTTGTATTTACATAAAATTTCTTGAAATAATATCAAGAAAATATCTAAATCATAATTGAAAATTGAAGTAGCAGATTATCACTTAATCATGTTTTGAATTTTGAGTGCCAAGGATTGCAATCTAACGTAATTTTCAAAATTTGAACTCTTTACAGAAAAACAAAACAAACTATTGTTGGGTTCTTATTTTCTCTATATTAGATATTAAGGACACCCTTTCTGGTTTCTAGTAAAGAGTAAGTTGGCAGATAAACTTTTTTATTAGTAAACCAGGGACTAAAAAATTTAGAAATTGATTATGGCAAATCTTTGATATGACTGTCATATTTTGGAAACTTGTTGTCGTGTATTAAATAGTTACTGCCTTTGTTGAAAAAATCTGTACATGCAGAACATGGTTAATACCTACCCTGCTAAATTATAAAATATTTAGAATGGACTTGCCTATCTTAGCGTCTGTTTTGATTAAACCATTCATCATTTTTAGGGAATATTTCAAAATAAGTACTTCCTGAATAGCAATCAGTGCAGACCATATGCAGACAGCATAAGGAAAATGGGTTGATGCAAGCAGGCTAAGAGTTAAATGACTTAGCTCAAAAGCCAAAATTATTCTTAATATTATAATCAGTAATGTATAATCAAGTGTTGAACATATTGAACATTTATATAAATTTAAGACAGTAACATACTCGACCAATTTAGAATATAAATCAAAGCACAGAAGGCGCTAAATTTGTTTGGGTCTCAGAATGTCAGAAAGGTGAAGGTTATGAGATTATAAAACAATTTGTTTTTGTATAGTGCCACAATTGCTTTCCAGCGTTTTAATTGTAGTAGATTGGCTATAAGACTAATTGCAACACTGATATTCAATCCAATGTTTATTTGACTTAAACAATTCGGAAAAAAAAGAGTTGCCTTAACTGGGATTTGAACTCCAGACCTCTCACTTCCTAAGCGAGCGCACAAACCCCTCGGCCACGGTGAATTTATATGTTAACGGCCTGAAGAAAACCATTTTATTCTAAATTAGGGTTTGTAACGACGCTAGCTGTTGTTTAACACTTGTGTAAATAATCATGGCGCCTACTAAAAGCATGTATATCTATAAAGAATAAAACAATATTAGAAATCTTCGACCATTCGGGAATTATTTTGCTTGAAAATTAATGCGCCTGTCATGTGACCATATTTACGCAGTGATCTCCCCTGAATCTTTCGGCCTTAGTGTTACATACAAAGGAAAGTAACCGCTCAAAAGCGGACTACTTTCGGCATTTGCAATTAACAGCATTAGAGTCTGAAATTTCGCTACCATTATTTGTTTGGTCTGACGACCCAAACAAATAAAAATTATTGTTGTACATGGCAATTCATCAATATAGAATAATTTTATTATTTCAGAAGTACCTAGAGATCACAATATATACATAGAACATGCCTTAGAGACCATATTAGAGCCTATTTTAGAGGGTGTTAGCAAGCTAAAGCAGACGGTACAACTCAGTGTTATCTCCATAGCAACCGAGGCACTGTGTCAGGCATGGATGTCATTTATACTTCAGGAAAAAATCAAATTTAGGTCTGTATTTTTGAAATTTTATAAAAATAATCCAATTTTGTTATTTTCATGTATTTGTATGAAGAAAGGCTGTCCTTGGTTTAAGGTCTTTGAAATGTTTTTGTTTGTTTTTTTGTCAGAGGGAATAAGTGATGATAAGAGTTTGTTAATTATATAATAACAAGGCTCTCCACTATACTATTTTCCCTGATGTCTTGGTCAGAACCGCTGTTGCTACTAACATCTTCCTGGGTATTACAGGGTGTAGTAAACGGTGTTCTGCCAAAATGCTCTGATAAAAGGCTCTCTAGTTCCTGAAAATAAAATACAAATAATATATTAATCATACCTCTTTATGCAAAATCTAATATCAAACATAAATGACTAATAAATAGAAAAATTAATTGCAAAATCTAAAAATTTAACATTTTACTGTTAAACTTTTTGCTATTTGTTTAATCAGCATGTGATTAAAAAAAATGCCTAAAAAAATAAGATAGAGGCAGGTTTTGAACCTCAACCGCCCGCACGAAAAGCGAACGGCGTAACCGTTTAGCTACAGAGGCATTTACATTTATCAGTGAAGAAATATTTTCTTTATACAACGGCGGTGTTTAAACTGAAAAACAGCGCGGTTCCAGACGACAGTTTACACACTAATTCCAGCTATTTAACAAATTAGTTATCACATATAAAATGTACATGTACGATCCATATACCAAAGTTTTAAGTGTTTATTCGTTATGTGTAAATATATTCATTTGTAAATAGAATCTATTTTCATGTAGACTACATCTAGGATTAGTCTCGCAAAGCGGCAAATATTTTTCTTTTAATTTATTAGATTCTAGTTCTAGATGAAAATAAAAATAGCTCTAGAGAAAAAGATAAATGTCGAAACATTCATGCTAGTCTATAAACCATGATAAACTTTTTTCCAGCGTTTAAATAGGCACCTGATGTGAAAAGAGATTCACGAATGTATTCTACTTTCGTTTTCAAATACCGACTGACCTTCAAAACATTATTGATTCAAATGAAATCAGATTTAAAACATAAACATACAGTAGATTGTTAAAAAACACGAATAAAGAAACTTACCTCTAGCTCTTCGGCCATTTTACGCAAAGAAAATACGTGTAACCTGTCGATAATAATCGTAAACAAAACTTCTAGATTAACATGTGTAGTTTCGCAATGATCTTCCGGTATGACTTTTGACGTCATTTATGATGTTTGCGCATTATGTCATTAAGACCCCAAATCGCATGACGGTGCTCATATATTTTAGTATAGCTAAACTCTGTACTGTATAATTATGAACGTCAAATTTAGTATTGAAATTGGCTGATAAAAGACAATTTCAGAATTGAAATTGGCAAAATATGGGCAATTTTAGTTTTAAATCTGGCTAAGAATGGACAATTTCAGTATTGATAATAATATTAGCTATGAATGGACTATTTAGTATTGATATTGGCTATGAATGGACTATTTAGTATTGATATTGGCTATGAATGGACTCTTTAGTATTGATATTGGCTATGAATGGACTATTTAGTATTGATATTGGCTATGAATGGACAATTTTTACATTGAAATTGGCTAAGAATGGACAATTTTAGTATTGAAATTGGCTAACAAAGGTCAATTTCTGTATTGATATTGGCTAAGAATGGACAATTTTAGTATTGAAATTGGCTAAGAATGGTCAATTTCTGTATTGAAATTGGCTAAGAATGGACAATTTTTACATTGAAATTGGCTAAGAATGAACAATTTTAGTATTGAAAATGGCTGAGAATGGACAATTTTAGTATTGAAATTGGCTTAGAAGGGACAATTTAAGTATTGAAATTGGCTAAGAATGGACGATTTTAGTACTGAAATTGGCTGAGAATGGACAATTTTAGTATTATTATTGGCTAAGAATGGACAATTTTTTTCATTGAAACTGGCTAAGAAAGGACAATATAAGTATTGAAATTTGCTAAGAATTGACAATTTAACTAATTATTTTAGTATAGAAGTTGACAGACAATATAAGTATTGAATATGGCTGGGAATTGGAAATTTTAGCACTGAAATTGGCTATGAATTTTAGTATTGAAATAGCACGAGAATTTTAGTTTTTGAAATTTCCTAAAAATGATCAATTTGAAATTTAGATCTAGACATGGCAAGTATTGTAACAGCATGGTGGAAATTATACTGGTGATAAACTAGGAATGATGGATAGACAGGGCTCATAAACAGAAATTTGATATAAACAAATCTTGTCAGTTTGTAAGTAGTTGAATAATCATGGATGTTGACAATATAATTATATTTCATCATTTTTTTAATGCTCTCATTGCTACAGTTACACAGGGGCGTGTCAACTAGGTTGTGATGTAAAGTACATGAAGTCATGGTTACATCAGAGTATCGTCATGGAAACGGTACAACAAAGCATTCTAGATCTGCCAGTACTCAAAACACTCAGTGGTGTTGTGCTTATCCTAATGAAGCAGCCATTCAAGCGATCTTCCAGCAAGTTCAGGGGATCTGCGTCTGAAAATAGTAAGATTTATTTTTTAATTGCATTATGTTAATAAATAAAGGAGTAGTGTGGCTTTTGTATTAGCCCTGGTGTCAGTAACCGAGTGACACTTGGTGGGGAGGCTTATTTACTGCTTAAAGTATTGAGGGTTGCTGTCCAAAACCAATAGGTCTTGCTAAAACATTTTGTGAAAGTAACCAATGAAGATATTGACTCGAAATTTCACACATTTATTCAGGATCAATCTCTTTTTGGATAAGAAAGAGCAGTTTTTCCAAAAATGTTCAAAATCTAAATTGATAATGCTTTCTTACTAAAATGTAAACATCTCAATCATTTAAGCTTGATTTGCATGGAAGTATTTATTATTTGCTGATTGGAGAACAAAAAACATATATGAATATAATAAATGGTAGTTTAAAGTCCAGATGGATTTTATTTGGTAATCTACAATATGATATTTATTTTTATGACATATTCCTTCTGCAGGTGAAGACAATTCAATGGATTATATTCAAGGCGAGAGATCAGTCTATGAAAGTGAGGACAAAATTAGCCACGTGTCCAATCCAAACGAATGGCTGGCACTCAGAGTGCAGGGAACTGGCAGAAGCTGGCGAGGGATTTCATCATGTTTAAATCCAGATCCTCAATAATGATTGGTCAATTGGTACTACAAAGGGAACCAATGGAAACTGGAATTGAGTTTTTTCTAAGTAATGATTGGTCGATTTCGAGAACAAATGGAAACCATGGGAGCAGGAATCGAGTTTCAACTTGCCATAGCAACATCTACAAACAAGCTTTTATTGTTTTTCTTTTTGTTTACAAGGAATCAGTTTTTAAAGGAAAGAAATGCCTGTCCTGGTTATAATTTATATTCTTAATGTGTGGATGATTTTAAAGGTCTGTTGAATCAATGGCAGCTAGATATGAATTTCATCATGTCTAAATTTAGATATTCCTGAATAGGTTTTTTATTTCTTTTTTGTATACTGGAAATTAATGCTTGCAAGGAGGAGAATCTTTGAATCTTTACATCTAGGCTCATTTTTGAAATTTATTGGTAGATTAGTAGAATTTTAACTGATTTAAGACATGAAGAACCTTGCCAGTTTTTGCAAGCAATGTTTGAATATATACATGTAAATGAAATGTTCATACACGATTGTGTTTAGATCTTTAGATCCATAACAATGGAGGAATTAGATTTTAGGAAACCAGCTGAACCTTCCTTAGCCTCAGTTTGAATACTTGATATTTATTGGCTGGCTTTCATATTACTGGGAACCAATGAAATCAAAGAGGAAGTGAGGTCAGCATATTTGATGCTGCAGCAGAAGAAGAGAGGAACACATTATATTGCTCAGAAAAACAATCTATATGTCACAAAGCTGAGATTTATCACATTTTGCCAGTACCTTGTATATTTGATATAATTATTGTTTTTTTATTTATTTCTATAATTTTTCCATACTTTGGCAAGCTTTATAGAATTTGAAATCTACACAATGTAGTTAAATTGAAGGAAAGTAGAGCTTTTGCTTTTTAGTTTTTGCTTGTGGCTTTACATAGATCTTTGTCTTCATTTTTTGTTTACAAATTATTATTTTGTCATTACATGTACTTTATGTATGAAAATTATTTTTTTTATACAGTTGATATCACAATACATGTACATTATGAATAGAATTCTTAATAGTAACATTTTACTGTTGTAAGCCTATTGCTCACTCTCGTTATTGCTAGATTAGATAGAAATATTTTCATTAACTTAACCTATTTTTAGATCATAAAATCATCTTACTTTTCAGAGTCAGAAATTACATTTGACTTATTAAACACATATTTTTTGCTGTATCAAAATCAGACGTAACTGATGTGGAAAAAAATTTATTGCAGAAAATGTGCTATAACTATCACATGACATGTATGTGCAACAGTTAATAAGTGCTATAACTCACTTCATAAAAATCATATCTTAACTGAAACTGTAGATACTGCGGAAATAGGCAGAGACCTGAATGTTAATTTTAGAAAATGTATGAATAATTGTCAATACATAGTGTATTATGTAGAACTGACTTTCAAATTAATAGACTATCTCCGGAATTAAGACTATTTGGGGGTTTTCTCAGCTAATCTGTAGTTACAAACTTTTTTCAGTTACAGCTTTGAAATAAGTGAAAAAAGGTTCACTATTCCATTGTAATTTGTAGTGCACCCTGAAGCTATAGCGGTAAAAGTTTGTTTGTATCTACGGATCAGCTGGGGAAAAACGCACATTTCCCGAGTTAGGATAATTTCTATTTGAATGAATATTATGTAACAAAGAAATATTTTTCATCTGATAATGTTATCATTTCATAAACACCACCTAGATACTAAGGTTATAAAGCTTGTATGAAACATTTCTCTTTCCTAGACTTGCTTGGATATGTAAGCCCCAGGTCATTTAACCATGCTGTTACTTTTAATATGAATGTCATTCAGTTAATTTAAGGGCATATAACTGCTACGATACTTAAGTCAAACCATTCAATGATTTATCTCCCCTTTTACACATACAGTAACAATGTGTTAATAGAGAAACTTAACCTTGTGCTCTTTACTTAATTCTTTTCAGTTTAATAAAAATGAATATTATATGCGACAAATTGTTGATCTTGAAGATTGAACGTTGCATTCTTACCTTTGCCTATGCTGATATTCTGACTTTGGGTTGAGAATGTTAGACAAGCTGCTGCCAAATTATTTATATATCTTGTGATGAAATATATTTGGTATTTTTAGTCCCCTACCGGTTTAACCGGAGGGGACTTTAGGTTTACCCTCCGTCCGTCTGTCTGTCTGTCTGTCTGTCAGTCCGTCCGTCCACAAAACTGGATCCCGCGATAACGCTAAAAGTACTGAAAATATTTTTATGAAACTTGATATATGGATAGATGGCAGTATGGAGATTATGCACGTCTTTTTTTTTCTTCCTATGTTGAAAATTCTGGTTGCTATGGCAACAAATAGCCTGAATTTCAAGATTTCTGATTAAAATTTTTCAGCTTTTTCACTATATGTTCTTTATTTCTTAAGGTGTTTACTTCAAACTTTAAATATAAGTTTTTGGTCATCAACCACATCATTTGTGACAAGGTTTATAACTCTAGCAAAAAATTATTAGTATTACCTCCCTTGAACTTAGATTTTTTAGGGGAAAAAATGTTGTCTTTTTTAAATAACTTTTATATTTCCTAATGTATCTACTTCAAACTTCATATATATGTTTCTTATTATCACTCGACATTTTTGAGAAGGTTAAATACTCTAGCAAGACTATTTCCAGAATTATGTCCCCCTTGAACTTAGATTTTTTTCGAGAAACTGGTATTTTCACTCCAACTTCTTCATTCCTTATAGGATTTACTTTAAAATCCCACATCGTAATAATATGACAAGGTTGTATAAACATAATTTCCTTACTAAGCATGGAAACTTAACACATTACTGTGATATAGACAAACTTATTTTATTATGTTTTGTGGTCGATATTTTCAAATACAGACTTCATCCTCAAATTATTATAAATGGCAATACACAGGAGTGTATGACAATTAAAGAACTTTTTGAGGGACCGGTAGGGGACTACTGTATTGCCCGCAATACTATCAAATGCTTGTTATTTCATGTTTTGTTTCTACTTTTTTTTATAATTTATAGCTTCTTTGGCTATAAATATGTCATGATTATTTAATGCCAAATAAATGTTTATTATGCTCTGTTACTTATTCATTGGTACAGGTACATTTTGAAAGAAATAACTATACGATAATTTCACATGATTTGCCAGATGTCTTCATTAAATATAGAATGTCATTATTCTGTTATGTCAGTTTGGCACCACATGATTTTCACAGAAATCTTAAAACATTTTTACCTAAAAAATCTGAAATAAGAAATGGTAGTTGTAAGTAACAAAATGTTTGATATATTTACTTTGTTTTTCACTGACTATAATATATGGTAAATTTAAATCATTAATTTGAGGTAAGGTTTTAATAGATTTTTAAAATATACAATCAAATCAACGAGAAAACATGGCAAAATGTTTTTTTTTTAAATGTTCAATTTCTATATGGTTAATTGAAATGTTTTTAATGTGGACAGAAATTTCCACTCCAATTCATGTCAGATACTTTGTCACCTTAGTGCAGTACCAGGTTAACACCCATTAAATTATATAAGGAGTTAACCTGTTACTGCATGAAGGGGACACATTATATTGCTACATTATGTTGATACTTTTAAACAATAGGTTGTATAAAAACTTTAGGCTAGTTTTGTTTTCTTAATTTATTTGTGCATAGCTCTATAATTAACTTATTATTGTTGTATTTTGTAGCTTTTTGCTTATTAAATTTTTATACCTTCACCATACAGTGTTAGGGAAGACTGTGTAGGAATCACTTTGTTATGTCCAATTGCGATAGTATTTCTTTATCTTTAAGTTTAGTTTATATATTAATTTAAAATTTTCAATAAAATTACTCGGGAGGCTAAGATTCACAACTCTTAAATTGCATTTTAACATAATTATGTTCTTTTTACTTAGAAACTTAGAAAATGTCCTGAAGTTTTGCGAGTGTCATAAATTGGCATACTAACAGTTTATTGTTACGTATTTTAAAACTTGATTTTTTGGGATAAAAATTTCTCAATATATTAATTCATGTACATTGTTGTTGTCTCCCCGTTTAACTGAGAGGCATGTTCTTTCAAACTGTATTTAAGTTTGCCCCAACCCCTCTTCATCCCTTCCAAACTTTGATTTAAGCACATTGGTGAGTGTATGAGTGAGTGTATGGACCACATTCAACATTAGTTATAGTTTTGTTATTTATTTATTTATTTATTTTGCCAAGCCTGTGATCATATTTGAAAATGTTGTTAGTCAATAAATTGTTTTGATAAAAATATGAATGTGTATTTCATACTGTAGTTAAAAAGGGGCTTAACAAAAGTGATTTTAAATCAACTTAAATGGATTTTCGTTTTAATTTATTCGCACTTTTTTTTAATGTCCATTACCATATATGGTTCCTGCTAAAATCTGGTATCATAATTTTTTTACTCACAAAACAGACTAGAAGTGCAAATGCTTCAACTAAAAATAATTATTATTGGAAATATTTGAAATCACTTGCATAGTCTTATTTAATAACATCAAAACACTCATCGAAATGGGTCACATTGACCAAAGTATTTAGTCATTAATGGTATTGTTATATTGCTGATCAGCCCCTTTTGTTGATTAATAAAATGATCTTTATATACAGTGTTTGAGTTATGTTTACTTGTGTTTGACAAAATATGAAAGTCTAACCCTTATGATTACAAATGGCACCAGATAGTCAAAGGGAAGTAACTGCTTGGGATAAAAGTTTACAAATGGCACCTGATTGTCAAAGGGAAGTAACTGCTTGGGATAAAAGATATCAAGTGGCACCAGATTGTCAAAGGGAAGTAACAGCTTGGGATGAAAATAAGATTACAAATGGCACATGATTGTCAAAGGGAAGAAACTGCTGGGGATAAAAGTAAGATTACAAATGGCACCAGATTGTCAAAGGGAAGTAACAGCTGGGGATAAACGTAAGATTACAAATGACACCAGATTGTCAAAGGGAAGTAACAGCTTGGGATAAAGGAAGATTACAAATGGCACAATATTGTCAAAGGGAAGAAACTGAAGGGGATAAAAGTAAGATGACAAATGGCACCAGATTGTAAAAGGTAAGTATAGCTACTGGGGATAAAAGTAAGTATGATGAGTCGCCTTTCAGACGATAACGGAAACATTCTATGTTCCTATCTTTCAAGAATCAACCATAAGATTATTGAAACAATATAGATTTACTGTAAAAAAACCCAAAAACAACAACAGAAATAAAGTTTCCTTTTAAAAGGAAAGGCTTGCTCAGTGTGTCTTCATCCCTAGCTTCCCTTTAAAATTGTGTTTTTTTTTCTTGTTTCAATTTATTATCACAATTTGTTTTGAATTACGGTATTTGTATATCATAAAGGGTTTATACAGTTTTTTCTCGAAAAAAAAAGTTTCACCTTTAAAGGGATAGGTAGGGTAAGCCCAAGACTGGACGAGCACCTGTGCCCATTTGTTTGAGCACCAGTGGTTATGCGTAAATAGGGACTTAAAGTCCACTGTTTATAACTGAACGGGGAACATGATGACGATAACAGTTGCAACATTTTTTGTATAAATGAATATTTTTTTGTCAAAAACGATTCGAAATCTATTCTCTATTAAAATAATCAATCGTAAAAATACTAACATTGGCTCTCACGTGGAGATCAATTTATCGTACTGAAGGACATTTCATTTCCACTTTTTTCGCAGAGAGAGTCATTCGTTTTGGCAGTTGCTAATT